AAAGGTCTCCGGTGTACAACTTGCACATACTATTGCTTAAACCCCAAGGGATGATGAATGCGGACCCTTTGGCCAAGCTCTAACAATAGGCTTGAGACACTTGGATGCTGAACCTTGAGTCTCCTGGTCGTCCAGCAGACAACCCTCCAGCAGATCAACCTTTGCAACAGAGGCTGCAGGCATCGAGACCAAACATGGTTTTTGCGGCCCCGAGACAAAGCCCGTGGATCCGTGGTTCATGTATGCTGTTCTCGGGGGCATGGCTGGCAGAACTTCCCTGCAGGTACACAGACAGAGATCATCGTGCTGAAGCAGATGCCTACGCCTCATGAACCACTCCACCCTCCATATGCAATAAACTATTCTACTAAGGGTTCAAACGATTAATAATCATACGCCACCCACCCACACTTTGTACTACAGTCAACCAGCAGGCTAACCGTTGGAGACTTGGCCCCCCGGGATAAACTTAAAAACCCATCTAAGAACTTGATTTAGGGTTTAGGGTTTAGGGTTGTAGACCATACCCTAAACCCTAAACCCTAAACCCTAAAACCTAAACCCTAAACCCTAAACCCTAAACCGTCATCATAAAGCCTGTACAGCCTTCGGGGTATTAGGATAACATACTCCATTGTGAGGGAGTCCTGCAGAGTAATGTCAGCGATTGTCTAGGGCCACAGAACTCCTGCAGAAAGTGTGAAAAAACATATTAACGTAAGGGTCCATGTACCCAACTAGTACATACTTTGGCCTGAACCGAGTCCCTATGTATAGGTACATTGGTGCCAAAGTGTATACTTTTTGGGATGAGTTGGATCCTATTCTTGCCTGGGTGCCAAGGTAGACTCCACCATCTGCGGGCCGCCGATGAAGACAAGCTCCTGCCGACGATCCCCGAACCTCAGCGGTGGCAGAGAACGAGCTTCTCTGTCGGCTTCCCGTAAGAGTCAGGGTGCTAGAAGGGAAGTATAAGATTACGATGTATAAGATTACGATCATAAGGGTACAAATAAGTTCATTCTAAGGGTACTGAAAGGGCGGTTTCCAGAAGGTTTCCCAGATTACGGGTTCCTTTAAGGCTATACCCTTAGGCCCCAAAGTAGTTCCTTTTTGGGATTACCTTATAGGATTCTATATACGAGCCCCAAAAAGGAACTACTTTGGGGCCTTTGGGTAGGTTGGGGTGAAACAAGGCTTCGCAGGAACTGGTTTAGACATAGCTACTGCTATAGGGTTCAGGGTTTTAGGGTTTAGGGTTTTAGGGTCTTAGGGTTTAGGGTTTTAGGGTTTTAGGGCTTAGGGTTTAGGGTTTTAGGGTTTTAGGGTTTAGGGTTTAGGGTGCTGCCGCAGGGCGTACCCGTCGGCGTGACATATCCCTAAGGGTCCATGTACCCAAATAGCATATATACTTTGGCCCCAATGTACCTATATATAGGGACTACTTCAAGGCCAAAGTATATACTATTTCGCTGCTTAGTTACTTGGACCCTGAGGGCATGTGTGCCAGATGAACGCACACAGGACTGCGCAGCAGCGGCCAGATTCAGAACACGTTAAGGCTCGTAGGGGTCTTCATTTGGGTTTCAGGTTTGGTGAGACTTCACGCGGTTGCTTATGGTTTAGGCTGTATGGTTTAGGCTGCGGGTTTATTCAGCGTTTTTGTGCTTTGGGTTTTAGCTTTTGATTTGGCAGTGTAGATTTAAGGCTTTGTTTTGAAGTGCAGCGGTAGCATCGTGTTTCAGTTCTTGCGGTTGGCTTTAGGTTGTCACGGTTTAGGGTTTACGGTTTGGGAGTTTCTGAAACTAGGGATACCTTATTTTGGGGTCCTTGTAATAAGGATCCTACGGTATATTAGGGTCCACTATTGTCGGAAACTCCCATTGGGGAATACCGAAGAAGGAAGCTGCTAGAGTTTTTACTTTGAGGGCAGATAACTACAGACCAGAAGCCCAAGTGACATAGAGCCGCCACTGAAACCTAACATTCCTTTTAAAGGCTCCTGTAAGGGCTGCTATAAGGGCTCTATACTGGCTCTACAAGGTTTTGGTGTAAAGTTTAGGGTTGAAAGGTCCATGTGAAACCCATGACTTAAACAAGTGTTCAGACGTAGAACCCCGATGAAACTGTTACTAATCCTACTTGCTTCTAGAAGCCTCATACTGCCTTTATACAGCTCTGAGATGTCCAATCACAACGCTGGTGCCAAAAGGCTCAGGGTGCCATTTTCGGCTCCGAACCTCTCGGAAGTCCGCTTCCACGCCTTGTGAAGAGATTGTTCAAGTTTGAGACACTCTTAGAGCATACTTAGCCGCTCAGGTGCCGCGTCGGGTTTACTTAGGGGCTCAATACCCTTGCCCATCAAAGGTTCTCTTGAATTTACAGACCCCAAAAGGCTAAAGGTTACCTACTCAGCTACTAAGCTTCAAACTTTTAGTGAAGGGATTGTTTGCACTGAGAGCCCGATAAGGTTTAGTTTAGTTCTCTAGAAACCACAGTATACCCAGAGGTTCCGGGGGGTCCAAAAAGTAGATCGCTTAATGGGGGTTCTTGTAAAGTATCCTCTAGCAGCGTAGGTCCCAGATTCGGGGATCTCCGTTTTAGATCCTCCCGGGGGTTTAGGTAGAAAACTGGACTTCGCGCGTTGCAAAGCTTTGGCACCGTCGGGTTTTAAGTTCAGAGACCGTCTTACCGCACTTCCGCATCCCTCATTCCTGAACTGAAGCTCCAAATCTTTGACAGACAATCTCTCTGTGCTCTACTGGCATTAAGAGTTCGGCTTGTGGATTTCGGAGTTGAACTTGAAAGACGTAGTGAATCATGATCCATGTTCAGCTAAACCATGAGTCCTAAGTCCTGAATCTTGAAACCAAGTCACAAGACCCGATGCACCCTAAGCCCTGAGTCCTGGTTGGAGACCTCAAAGGCTGGGATCAAGGTAAGTAGGATAAAGAAACCCTAAACCCTAAACCCTAAACCCTGATATAAGGACTCTCATTTTGGGAGTACCCCACCTACCTTCATCCCACCCTGGAAGCCTCTTGACCCTGATAAGCTCCCCAAAGGCTCCGTGTACCCATATAGTAGGTACTTAGGCCTTAAAGTAGCCATATAGGGACCCCATGTAAGGTTTAAGTATCTACTATAAAGGTACATGGAGCCTTTGGGCTCGAGTGTCGTGATTTGGGAGTTTCCGAAAATCGGGGACCCTAATATAGTACTCTGAATAATAGGATCCTTATTATTATAAGGACCTAGAATAAGGTATCCCTAAGTTTCGGAAACCCCCATTTGGGGACTCGGGACTGCCAGGACCGAGGCTTGTTTTCCAGCACGTCTGCGGGGTATTTCGTTCCCTCACACGTCCGTCTCATTGGCAAAACCGGAGATGGGCGTGGGGTTTGGGGCCTAGGGTTTGGGCCTTCTTTTGGAAAGTTACATAATCGCAAGAAGTTGAAACTCACCTGCTCGGCTACGAAACCTACGCATTGAGACAGCAGTGAGGTCAAACATGATATCGAAAGGCACGTATGCATGTTACGAAACTCCGAAGAGTGTCTTTGTAGGGTCTACAAGCCCCGTCACCTAGTTTGGGTGGTATTTTACTGCTGCGGCGTAACGACGGATACGTGTGCCCAGGTAACTCGGCTTCAAGCAGGAGTGCAGGAAGCCAAGGTGCCTTTATAGTAGATACTTAGGCCTTAAAGGGGTCCCTATATGGCTACTTTAAGGCCTAAGTACCTACTATATGGGTACATGGAGCCTTTGGGAGTGCAGGAAGCCAAGGTGCCAGGATAGGTCATGCGGAATTTCTGCTGCTCGTCGTTAAGCAGCGACCACCACCACTCGTCTGGCTTCACCTCCAGTGTCCTCTGCGTGTCAACAGGAGCATTTCGGTTCGAGCTTTTTCTGAATCCAACCCAAAGTTTAGTCCAGGGTGACTTTAGACTCACTGTGTGTTTTTGTCAGAAGGAAAACCTCGGTTCGTGTTTTTCCCAAAGGCTCCATGTACCCATATAGTAGGTACTCAGGCCTGAAAGTAGCCACATAGGGACCCCTTTAAGGCCTAAGTACCTACTATATGGGACCCGACCCAAAGTTTAGACTTTCCACCCGCTGTGTCTATGGTATCTCACTTCTCTAAAGACAAAGAAGCAGCCCGAACTCATCCACACAGCAATGCAACTCAGAGTCAAACAAACCCAAAGCGGCAAAATATCAAACTGAATCCATGGGCGGTCGTCGCACCCTATAATACCTAGAGGCTCATACCCTACCCCTTTTTTAAGGCGCCTACTTTTTAAGATAACAGATCCTAACCATAAAACTAGGTATCCTAAAAAAGGGGTAGGGTATGAGCCTCTAGGTACCCTATAATACCCCATAATACCCAAAAATACCCCCACGAGACCGGTCCCGTGGATGCTTCCGCTTGCGCTTCGGGCTTAGGCTTGACCCGTCCCAACAACAGACCGGCTAAGGGTTTAGGGTTTAGGGTTTAGGGTTTAGGTTTAGGGTTTAGGGTTTAGGGTTTAGGGTTTAGGGTATCAGGGCAGCTGCCGTGAAGAAGAGCACCTAAAAAGTTTGAAGAGAACTCCTGACAGCCTTTGGAAGGGCGGTGACCACAGCGAAGCCAGCATGTATCCCAGGCATTACGAGTCTTTGTTGTGAGTGACTATGTGCGTAATAGTTCAGGGTTTACGGGATTTCTGGAACATCAGATGCTGCATGGCTACCTGAGCCATGAAACCCTAAACCTCGAAACCCTGGTTCCCGAAACCATACGAAGCACTCCGACCAAAGCAAAAGCCCCAAACAACTTCCCCACAAAAGCTCTCAGGCCTTCATTTAGGCTCCCAGGCGATCCCCTGATACATATTTCGTTGTTGGGCCTGTTTTGAGGGCTAGTCAGCGCCACCATAAGCATGTAGCCCTATCTCTTAGCCTACATAAACGGCAAAACAGCGCCAGCAACACAGACAGACTGATGCCCTAAACTCTCACAGCAGAACATCTCTTCCCACGGCCCTCCTGCCAGCATGAGCCCAGACATGTTGTCGCAGGGGCTCCGTGTCAAGCCAGCAAAAGCCTGAAGAAATGCAAAGAGACAAGGTGTTCAAAAGCAGAAACTCAAGGGACATGTAGCTGTAAGCCTCTTAGGGTTTCTTGGGTCTGTTTGGGTGGTGCGTTTCAAGAAAGATTTTAAAGTTCCATTAGACTTGTTGTTTGAGAGTTAACAAGGTCATATAAGGGCCATACCTGGTATATTCGATTCTATTGTGTTAGTAGTATAGGGATCTGTGATGGGGGCGGGGAGGGGGCAGAGGTCGAGGGCAATGCTGCTTTCTAGCTCACGGTTTAGGGTTTAGGGTGCAGCACCCGTAGAAGAACTGATCTGGGGTTTCAAACGGGGTTGCGGTGCGGGAGTTCCGACTCTGGCTTACTCTGGTGGCCTCTCTGCTTGTTGTGTGGATGAAACTGTGCAGCAGACTTCACCAACTCGTATACGGTATGAAGGGTCCAGGGCATGTTAAATAAATTGCCTGTGTACATACAAATATAAATATAAATAATTAAATATATATATATATATATATATATATGTAAATATGATTGTGCATATATATATATATATATATTTATGTATAGTAACTATGACTATAACCATAGGCATGCTTGCCATAGATGCAATGCTCCGCATTCGCAGGCTCAAACGACACTTGGAGAAGCCCCACATGAGGCCTTTCGACCGCAGAACAGCTCGGAGAGTACGTCGCTGGGCACAGCCCAATGTCGGCTCAAAGGACAACACCTGGCTCAAATGTGCTTAATGTAGGGGCCTTTACAATTAGAATAGAGCTTGGGGGTATTTTATATTATAGCTACAGAGGACCCCAAAAAACAAGGTAGTTACTCAAGCCCCTATATTATCACCGTTTTGGCTGCTTGGATCTCGGATGATGAAACAGGACCAGACCGTGCAAGGGGATGTTGAGGCCTTTGTATTGAAATACTTTCAAGTACATCCTCGACCAAAATCACCCGGGAAAGTCTGTACTTTGCGAACCCGCCAAGCACCTCCTCACCTACAGTTAGGACTACCCTTAACACAAATAGCCCAAACATGCAGCACTCGGAACGCTTGTGTGAGATACCTTGAAGGTGATGGTTTGCCTGAGTGCCTGATTTAGTCCGCGACAGAAACCCACGCCAGTCGATAGAGCACATACATGTTGGCAGGACAGAAGCCTACACCCTAAACTCTAGGATACCCAGTAACCTGAGAATAGAAAGGCCTCTCTTTTTGGTATTGGGTAACTTTATAAGGAACCTAGGACTACAAAAAGGGAACAAGGGTACTACTGGGCATCCTAGAACTCTGAACCCTAACACCCAAAGTGCTCAAAATTGAAATCCTGCACTCCACACTGCGGTCTCGATCCCCGATGCTATGACCAGAAGTGCATGTCAGCAGCCCAAGGTTTCAAGATATCCAGAATATCGCATGTATTGGGTGAAGAGTGGTAGCACATGCAAGTAAGGGATAGATACATGTACACATGTGCATATATATATATATATACATATTAATTACATACATACACATATACAGCCGTCCGTATGTGTTCGTGAACAATGTGCCCTTGAAGCCTTTTAGGCATAGAGTCAGAGCGCCTCAATAAGGACCCCTATAGTATATACCCTTAATATAGCTATTATTTATCCATTCTAGGGTAGGGGTCCCCATTAAGGGTCCCTCCTTTTCCCCTTTGGGTTTAAGCAAAGAGTCGGAGCGCCTCCTCCTCTTGAGAGTCGTCGCTTTTCAGGCGCAGGTCCTCTTCACTTCACGGCGGACCCCCTCTGAATTGTCCGTAAGGCTCCATGTGCCCATGTAGTAGGTACTTAGGCCTTAAAGGGGCCCCTATATATGGCTACTAGAACTCAGTACCTGCTATATGGGTACACGGAGCCTTTGGCGGGTGTGGAATCAGCATGGGGAAGATGAAACTTAGATATCTAATGACCCATAAACCATGAAACCAGAAACTCTGCAACCGAAACCCTCAGCCCCAAACCTAAATCCTCTAAACAAATCCAAGCTCCCAGACTAAACCCTGACTAAACCCTAAACCCGTCGAAAGCCTAATACCCCACCACGCCCCGCCCCTCCCGCCGGACCGAAGGCTACCAAGTTCCGACATCCTGCGTGGTTGGCAGTGGCCACGCATCGAGGAGCTTTCTGAGGCGTACCTGAGGGGAGCCAAGGATTGTTTCGCGGTTTACGGTTTCGGGGTTTCGGGTTTTCTTGGATTTAGGGTTTATAGGGGTTTAGGGATTTAGGGTTTAGGCGCTAGGGTTCAGGGCTTCGGATATCTGGGTTCCGACCATCCGACCCCACACGCTTCTGCCGCTTGTTTCGATAATTAAAGCACTTCGCGCTAGAGGTTCGAGACTGAGGATGAACGTCTTGCTGTTTGTGTAAACTTTCGTGTGCATGTATGCATATACATATATGTATACACCTAAATCACATATACATATACATATATATATATATAACTCTCTCTCTATCTATCTCTCTCTCTCTCTCTCTATATATATATATATATATTTATTTATACATACATATATACATATGCATATATATATATATATATACACACATATGTGTGTGTGTGTGTGTGTTTGTGTAAGGGCTCTTTGCTCTCTGCAGCACTGGCCCTGCAGTCTGAGGGGTTGAGTGCCTAAAAGTGAACCCAGCAATCAACAACACCACGCGATGACGCATCATTGCGAGATGCAGCCCTTGGCCGAAAAGTCTTAAAACACCCTACACCCTCAAGCCGGAAACCCAACATTCCAAAACCCCACACCCCAAACTCACTGACGAAGGGGCTGAGTACCCCTGCCCCAAAGGGCTGACCTTGCCAAAAGGTGTAGAAGACTTGGCATAGACAGAAAGGTGCAAGGTTACTAGTACCCAAAGGCCCCAAAGTAGTTCCTTTTTGGGGTTCATATATAGGATCCTATAAGGTAGAACTACTTTGGGGCCTCTGGGCAGGTTACCCAGCCAGTCCCTAATTTGAACTCCCAGAGACATCGCCAAGTCGCACCGCTGAAGGGCCGCCGCCGAGTGAAGGAGAAACTCCAGAGGCCGAAACGCTCTCGCGCAAGGTCCTGTTTTGCAAAAGTGGCTTTAGGGTTTAGGGTTTAGGGTTTAGGGTTTAGGGTTTAGGGTTCAGGGTTTAGGGTTAGGGTTTAGAAGTGGCTGATTGTGTCTTGCTTCACAGACGCTTGTGTCTTATTTTTGTTATCGAAGGTAATTCTGAAATTTGTGTGTTAAGGGCTCTGCTCTCCTGGTAACCAGGAGTTCGAGGCAAAGGGCTCAACATTTTCTGGGAATTAAGACGCATATTTAGGTAGTACGGGGCTTGGGGTCAGGGTTTGGGATTGGTAGGGTTCAGGGTTTAGGAAGCATCGTTTAGTTCAGGTATCGGGTAGAGGCATCACCTTAGCCTACCAAAACCTACTTTTTTGCAGGGCTCCAATAAGTTCCATATTAAGGCTACAATACTAAGAACCTACAAAAAAGTAGGGTTTGGTAGGTTGAGGTAGTCTTCAGGTAAGAGGCCTCCCGAGCCGTTCTGCTTCGACGCGCATGTCACTAAAACCCGACAGGGTCGATGTAACGAAATGGTATGTGGGAGTTTCCGAAAATTAGATTATTCTAAGGATCCTACTATTTAGGGTGCTATATTAGGGTCCCCTCTTTTCGGAAACTCCAATGTGCTTTGGCCTTAAAGCCTTAAAATAATCCCTGTAATCATCCTTTGGGGCCAAAATATAGGCTATTTGGGCACTCCACCTGACCGTCCAAGACAAGGTTGAGGCAGCACGCAGGTATGCAGAACGAGGCAGCACACGGTGTTCTTGATGAGTGCTCTGAGGCTTTGTCGTGTGGCGGAGCGTTGCCTTGATCTAAAGTTGCATTCCACCTCAACCTTTCCACGCTGTTGGAGGCAGCACGGTTAGCGAGCGCTTAATCAGGGCAGCTTGATTTGCGGATTAGAAGTACAATCTAAGTCTATACTTATGGCCATGAGGGCAGAGGGGGGCCGCATCAATAGCTTTTGAGCGAAGTTGATTTGGTGGCATCGTGCTGGGAGCTTACCCAGAGTAGGCCGTAAGGATCTTGCATGAACTGCAAAGCTTTAACGCCGACAAGGCTGAGGCTGTAGGGTCTTTGGAAACCACATCGCTGCAAAAAGCCTCCAAACCACAACGCCTCAAAGACGATCGCAAAACTGAAGCAACGATAGCCTACACCAGCAAGCCAGCCACTACTGTGCTAGAATGACCGCGAGACTTAGCACTCTTCTTGACATTGTCCAGTGTTCAAGTGCACCTGACTGTACCTTCTACGCTGTCTGCCCGTTCTCCCCGAAATCTTCGGAGGTTGGAGACTACTTATAGTCTCCATTGTAATCAGTTCCTTTTTTGGCTTAACAAGTTTATACATGGGAGTTTCCGAAAATTAGGGGTACCTTATTTGGGGGTCCTTGTCATAAGGATCCGATTATATAGGGTACTATATTAGGGTCCCCCTATTTTCGGAAACTCCCACATAGGGTCGTATGAGGCAACCCAAACAGGAACTACAAGGGAGACTGTAGGTAAACTCTGCAGCTCCAAACCCACGGTCCCGCCTGAGCCTTTGTCAAACCAGTCCTGAAGATTGCAATCGTTTGATGAGTTCCAGAGAAGACATCGGCGTTCGGTTGAGGGTTTAGGGTTTGGGGGTTAGGTTTAGGATTTAGGGTGTTTAGGGTTTCATTGATCATATTTAGTCTGGGATTAATACTTGCGCCTTGTTGAGTTTAGCCGTAGGGTTTGAAACTTACCGCCAAAGCACTATGATCGATCTATGGTACCTGAAAACCTTGCTTTCTCACAATGGGATACCGTTCAACAGGGCTCTGTTGCACAGCCTGAACTCCTACACCCCAGCTTACCGGGGGTTGGGTAGAACCTCCAAACCCACGGGCAGGCACGACTGTAGGCCGTGTATTGTCAACAAGCACTCTGTGGGTAAATATCTTGGCCAACAAGGTCCGGTCTGCAGAGTGACTGTCTTTAGGATTTAGAGCTTTGGGGCTAGGGTCAGAATCCTGATTTCCGGAACCTGGACTAGCTGGATTTCCTGCATCTGGTTGGGTCCTTACCCAGGAAAGGTAAACATAGACATTTCCTGCATTTGGGGGTCTTCGTAGATCCTAAATCCACACAAGACCTTGGGACACCTGTAAGTGCTTGAGCTAAACGCCTGAATACTTCCCCTCATTATTCCTAATTGGAAGGTTCCTTATTTCAATCCTGCTCTGGTATAGTATACCCAACACAACCCATCATAATCAGGATGTTTTGGGTACTGCCCCCATACAGTAACATGTCTAGTGTATCTATATTATGAATATTATCCAACTGTTACTGAGTGGGGGCCGTACCCAAGGGATGTTTGTCTTCTAGTGCCTTAGCTCAGGTCACGTTCGCGCCGGTGGTAAGCTCTGGTTCAGCTAGGCACTGCTGTGGGGGATACTTCCCCAAACCATAGTGGTAATTCCTAGTATAGAAATCCTACATTCTACTATATCGGTACATGGGACCCTTTGGGGAAGAATAGTCTATAACAGATGAGGACTCACACTAGGTTCTACTATCAAGGTACTTTGGACCCTTTGGGAGATGGGGAATCGGCTGCAATGCTAAGCTGCCCGAGACCAGTTTAGGAGGGTTTCGAGGGGCTCCGGGGGCACTCATCGAGGCTTGAGGGCCTGAGAGCTTTAAAGGCTTTCAGGGTTTGGATTTAAACGGTTTAGGGTTTATAGGGTTTAGGATATAGGGTTTAGGGGTTTAGAAATTTAAAGCATCGTGAAATTGTAATCTCGCCATTTCTGCTATCTTTGTCCCTCATCGACAGGATTCTGGCCGACTCGCAGTGAAGGGACATGCAACACGTTTAGCCGCAATGCGATTTTCAGTCTCGTTCACGACCCTATGCTATCAGAAGCCTCAACCCTGAGCCCTAACTTATGCTCGTTCAGTGACAAGAATGGAAGCTAAGATTCGTTGGCTCAGCTTGCGCACAGTTCGCATTGCACGTCGGGTGGCCACAGGCTGGCAGCTTGTCTGCGGAGCGCACCAAGCACAAGGCATCTCCGTAAAGACTGCATCCCAACACCAATCAATGAATAAAGCGGCACACCACACAACTTTAAATTTACACGCCCCTACCCACCAAAATAAAGAAGTAAATTTCACACCGCATATCGTCACTAACACTAATGCCGGGACCTTCTACCTTGCCTTGTTGCAGGCACGATGTAACCCCACACCGCCCTCACACCAAGCCGACCTAGCAAGAAACTATCCATAATATCTAACGAAAGAACACGATTCAGGGATATGCAGTGTTCTAGATTGTCGATGCAAGAAAGCTCAAAGCTAACATTCATGCTGCGACACTCACCCAGCTCAGTTTCAGCTCGATTTCTTAGCGACTGAACTCGCGGCTGGAAGGCTTTATAGAGTTTCCGGGGTTGGGGGTTTGAGTGCTTCATCAAGTAGGCAATCTTGAGACATGGAGCCCTGAATGTACCCCACCTCTAGACAGGCGCTTCTGGTTTGTGTGAGCATCTGGGGCCAGAAATCGTAAATCAACACTCACAATTACCCAGAAATCCCCAAAGTAGTTCCTTTTTGGGATTACCTTATAGGAATCTTAATACGGTTGATGATATAAATCCTGCATGACCCATAATAAGGAATCTACCATAATTTCCATAGAGTAGGGTCCTTAAGGTAATGCAGGATTTATATCATCAACCGTATGAACCCCCACAAGGAACTACTTGGGGGCCTTGGGGCGAGGCTAAGGGCCCCAGCCCCTAATCAATCAAGCCCACAAGCCGAAAGTTTAGGGTTTAGGGTTTAGGGTTTTGGGTTTAGGGTTTAGGGTTTAGGGTTTGGGGTTTGGGGTTTAGGGTTTAGGGTTTAGGGTTTAGGGACCCCAAACCAAACTCCAAAATCCGAAACTTGGAGCCCAACCTCTCCAGAGCCAGAATCAAAAACACAACACCCAAAGCCCTAAACCCCCAAACCAAGAAACCCAAAAAGCACAAACCAACATCTAAAGCCCTGAAGCCCCCAAAACCCAGAAATCCCCGAATTTAACCCCAAGCCATGGGCCCCTAAAGCCCCTAAAACCCAAACTACAAACCTGGCCTTTCCAGAGGCCGGCCCACATGCCAGGCAGCTTCTTCTCCAGGCACAGTAGCACGGCGCGCTCCTCAGTTGACCCCAGAGTTGGCTTAGGGTGCCAAGGGGTTAGGGTTTAGCATTTGGGGTTGACGGGTTAAGGCTGTTAGGGTTTATAAGCGGTGTAGAGTCCAGGGTAGGGTGTACCTAAACCCCCCAAAGTAGGCAAAATAGTGGCCCAATACCTATAAAAGGCCATTATTCTACATACTTTCGGGGTCCAGGTAGGGGTGAATGGGTCTCCGCACCAAGCTAAAAGTTGGCTGCGCGTTTGGGGCGAACCTTAGAGGCTCCAAAGTAGTTCCTCTTTGGGGGTTCATACATAGAATCCTTTAAGGTTATCCCAAGAAGGGACTACTATGGAGCCTCTGGTAGAGCCTTATGGGACTTCCATAGTTGCTTCTTACGGGGCTTCTGAAACTCTGCAAGCAACAATTTTTTTGTTTTTGAGGTTCCCGGCTGTGAGACAGACCTGGGCCTTTAGAATAAAAGAATATATGTGCACCTTACACGAAATCCAACAGCTTTCAACCTCGAAAGCCCTAATCTGGAGCCGAAATCTGACGGAAAACTTGGCCCAGCCAGCCTATGCCAGGATGATGGACATGTGTCTGCACCCTGCCCCTCAATCTCGAAGACCGTCTCGCTGACGTTCTTCACCAGTCCTGCTCATGCTTTTTATGTCCAGACTCCCGAATCTGAAGCTTTCAGATTCGGGAGTTGCAGAAAATTGGTTGGGGGGGGGACCTTATTTGGGGTCCTTATTAACAAAGGGTCCTACTATTCAGGGTACTATTTTAGGGTCCCCTATTCTCGGAAACTCCCATTTGTGCCCAGGGTTCAGCATTGAGCGTCGTCCTTCAGAGGGCTCACTGAGTGGAACAGGGTTTGGATGCCGACTACCATGCTATGTTGCTGTGCGGTCAATCTGATTGCCAAGCGACTCATTGTTCAGGCTCAAAAGACTAACCGAAATTTGAGGTGGGTCGAGGACGGCGTACAGCTCAAAACCCCAGGTCAGACCCACACCACACACTACCCCTGCTGCAGGAGTATTACTGCAGCCCAAAAGGCCACCAACAAGCCGTAAACGAAATCACTGCAGCCTTCGAGCTGGCCGGCGGCTACCGGAGGAGCGGATTTCAAGCCGAGCCTGGCGGCTTCGGGATTGCTTCGGAGTTCACGGAGACGGGTATCGGATTTAACAAACAGAAATGGTTTTGCTGGCAAAGCAACAACAGCAGCAACATCAGCAGCAGCAGCAGCAGCAGCAGCAGCAGCCCAGCACCACCACCTTGATGGCGACGATGTTGATGCTGCTGATGATGCTGGTGATCATGCTCATCAAGGTCATGGGGACCATGACCACCATCATTATCAGCAGCAGCAGCAGCATCGTCACGCTTCATCGCTACAATGCCATCAAGATCAGCAGCACGGCCAAAGGCAACGACAAAGCAACAGACCAGACATCGTTGTGACACGAACCTGATGCCTTCAGCATCAAGTCAAAGCCTCAATGCTGCAAAGAGTTACCAAGATTGGGCTTTCGAAACTCTGGAGCGTAGAACTCATGTTGAGTCCAGCGTTTGGTTTAATTTGCTCCATCCTGAAGCCCAACATCCCGAACAGTTGTTTACGGTTGCTTGGGGCCTCTTGCCTGTCTCATTCACGATGGCCATATATCCTCCCCCTTCCGTTGGCCATGATTACCATTCCCGCCGTAAGCTGCGAGGCCCCTTACGATTCTTGGCATCATTGCATGCCGATTCCTAAATCCGATACCGTGAATGTTATCTCAAATCGCTCTTGATTCAATATCAGAACACGGCGAGTGACTTGAGCATGCGCTTGCCCAAGGCCCAGTCAATGTCCTTTCCACGGGTATGCCTCGTCTTGATGGCGGTGCTGAAGGCTTACAGAGTCTCGGGAGTTCCTTTGTGCGGCGCCCTGAGTTTTGAAATTACTTGGAGGGTCATGGGACTTAGCAAGTAAGGTCATGAGTACCTTGAACGGAGTTAATAGTTATAAGTATTATAACCTTACTTACTATCCTTGAATAGAGGTATGTACAGTAAACCCCATAAAGTTGGAAACCGGATTAAGGCCAAATAGTGCTGGGATTCCCTATACATTACTCTCAATGATTGAGGCTATGGGGTTTCCAACTTTGGGGCTTCTACTGTAAAGGCCGGGAACTGGGGCCGATGAGCTGAAAGTTCCTGGCTTCTCCGGGCCAGACCTTGTTCTCCAAGCAGAAAAGGAGGGACCCTTGATAAGGACCCCTAGGTATATACCCTTAGTATAGCCATTATAATACCATTATGTAGCCCATTATAGGGTAGGGGTCCCGATTAATGGTCCCTCCTTTTCCCCTTTGATGTTCTGTAATCGGAGGCTCCATGGGTACCCATAGGCCCCAAAGTAGTTCCTTTTGGGGATTACCTTATAGGATTCTAAATATGAGCCACGAAAAGGAACTACTATGGGGCCTTAGGGTAGTTACAAGTGGAGTGATAAGTAGTACGGCTTTAAGGTTTAGGGTCTGAGGGCTACTACTTTGAGGTTCCATGGTTGGTTAGAAGTGGGGCCATAAGTACTCTACTATTTGGAGGTTCCATGGTTGGTTAACATTGGGGTCATAAGTTGGATATCTATAGTTATAATCCGTATTAGAGGATTTATAACCCCGCTTAGAACTACCCATGAACCTCCAAGTAGCAGGCGAGACCGTGTCCTGGACTGCTAGAACTGTGAAGCCGTGATGCCCCCTAACACCCTGACGGAGCCTCAAACCTAAACAAAGGTCCGCGTACCCAACGATCATACACTTGAATACTAGCGTGCAAGTACTACGGTTTTCTAAACAACATTCGGACTATTGCCGGGGTACCTACACGCTTGATGTATCTCTGAGCGCGAAGCCCACTCGGTCCGAAACCTCAAAAGGTTTACTTTCTGCCCCGCCGATAGGGCCAGCTGCTGTGGAATAGGCATGCGGATGTGGATCTCAGACGCAGTCTGTGTCCATGAGTATCCTCAGCGCACAGGTTTTAGTTGGTGGTACGGAGTTGGGGCTTTTGATTTGTTGTTATGGTGTGGACGGGGTTTAGCATGTAGGAGTTTGTATTTAAGAGATGCCGAGAGTCCGTCGCCACCGCCCTGGAGCTGCACACGAAGTCCGTTAGGCACCGGTGGAAGCACAGTGGAGACAGCAACTTGGCCGAATTTAGTCCTCGATGCGGGGAGCGGTTGCGGCTTGCCGCTTCGGGTTCATAGGCTTCGTGCGTTTCATTTTTACGGGGTGCAATGCTCGAAGGAAATACACCCTGTAAAAAGCACTTTCTTTGGGGCTATTTGGAGCCCCAGCATACCTATAGGCTCATACCCCCACCCCTTTTTAAGGTACCTCAGTTAGGGTCTAGGGTTCTACATTCTCCAATACCCTAAACCCTAAACCCTAAACCCTAAACCGTGATCCCCGTAACAGCCAAGCAGCCGGCAAACTCCTGCTTTGGGGTTCAGCGCTTCCACCACCTTGGATTCAATCACAGCTCACTTAAGGCCCTAAACCCTAAACCCTAAACCCTAAACCCTAAACTAATCAGAATACGGTTTCGGGGTAGGATGTATCATGGTTACCTACCATTGCTTTTATTGTAGGGACTACCAGGAAAACACGAATCACTCGAGCCTCTACGGTGGTGAACCTAATTCGCAGCATGCAATTGGGGACTTCGGAAAAGGCTTTCGTCTGAGATCCTGATGCTGGTTTGGTCTCTTGGGTTTAGGGCTTCAGGGTTTAGATTAGGGTTGGGGGTGGATGTAGCGTGAATGTAGGGAACCTGCACATGCCCTTCCTGGTTGCTCAGCTTTGTGCCCAAACCTGAAACCATGCCCCTTGAACGCTAAAGCTCCCCCTGACATAAAAACGTGATTTTGGGGCCGGAGTTTCGATATTAGGGGGGGTTTACGGTTTAGGGGCATCCGAGAATGAGTCCGATTGGGAGTAATAATGAGCCAGATACAAAGATCGCCCATCACGCAGTCTGGGCTCCATGAAAACGAATACAATCCTAGGCCCCCCTAATGTTTGTAATTCACTTTCAACTATCGGCCCGAAACCACGAAATTCCAGGGGCCGGGAGTTTTTTATATTAGGGGGGTGGGGGTTAATGTTATGGGGAAAGCGATTAAGCCCCTAGGCAACAAGACGTGTAATACACCTAGAAGGCCTAAACCAAAGTGTAAGCCTGCAAACCATTACGGAACCATAACCCAAGATGGGAGCAAAAGCAGGTTGGTTTCTCAGCGCATAGGGGCGGGGCTGTAGAGTATCGGAATTACAGAATGAATAGGGTTTCGACGGCTGTGAATACACATCGACATCATGGCTGAACCCTGAACCCTACCTGTAGCGGAAAAAACCCTACCGTTTTAGGGTTCCTCATTCTGGTTTCTACATATACATAGGTGTAGTTCTTTAAGAAAGGTAGGTCTTTTCGGCACAGGTATATATCCCTGGCCCTGAGTCCTGAAGCCTGAACCCTAAACGAAGCTCGGCCGAAGTACGCCCTGAAACTCTGACCCGACTTTGTGGTTTCGGGTTTAAGGGTGAAGTGTTTACCTGGACCCTAAGGAACCTACCTTTTAGGGTTCCCTAATATGAGTTCCTTATATAAGTCCTTAAAAAGGTAGGTTATTCCGGGCTAAGGTAGGGCTTAGTGTTTAAGGGTGAAGTTTGGGGGTCTATATGGTTCTTGCATACCAAGCCCATACCGGGAAACTCTAGACCCGGGCTCCTCCGAGGAAGACCCAGACCCCTGTAATCTCTAAACTCCGATGTATATATATATATATATATGTATGTATGTATGTATGTATGTATATATATATATATATATATATATGCCAACAAATAAATAAACAAATAAATAAATATATATATATATGTATACGTATCAGTGACATCCCAACCCTTGAACCCCTCAACCCACTCCGTGACCATTCACCTGCAGGGTCGTGTTCAGCTCATCCTCACTGGCCAGGTCGATCTTGTTCACCACTACCACCTTTGGGACGTCATGTTCAGCAGGCAATGTGCCTCCATGCTCTAGGATTGCTGAACGACCCTGTGACTCGGCCTCCATACTTGCAACAGTGTTTGGAGGCACAAGCTTATGTTCGCATCATTCGGGCCTATAGGTAAGTTAGAAACAAGGAACAATTCTAATGTGTGGGACTGCAATTTGAGCTTCTAGTGGCGCAGAAAAAGTTGTAATATGATGTTTATGTATGTCATAACACGAAAACCTAATCTAGATATTAAGGCCACATATATACATACATAAATATAAATATAAATAAATATAAATATATATATATATATATATATATATTTGCGTATACTATACAGTATGTGTATATATATATATATACACACACTACAAGTCTGTCCTGCAGCCACAGGGGCATCTGCTAACTCCACCTGCTCCGCGAGAAGCTGACCCACGCCCTCTGTAGTTTGTCTCTGCCTGGAATGAGGGTCTAGGGTTGGGGTCAATCCCGCCCGCCATTACGAGTTTTAGGTTTAGGAGCTTAGGACTTGGGGCGAGGGGCCGAGGTCTGGATTTAGACGCAGGGAGTTTTGTGCTTTAGGGTTTAGGGTGTCGGGTTTAGACACAGCGAGTTTTGTGCTTTAGGGTTTAGGGTGTCGGGTTTAGACACAGCGAGTTCTGTGCTTTAGGGTTTAGGGTGTAGGGTTTAGACGCGACGACCACAACAACACCACCAATGTATGCCAGGAGCACTGGCGAACCGAAAACAAGGAGAAGCCCAAAGGTTTTTAAAACGTGAAGTACCAGACTGCTGGTATATGAGGCACCAAGAAATGAAACTGGCCTGATACGACAATGGAAGGACAATCTGTCGTGGCTCATGAAGATGACAACGGTGATGAAAACGCATCAAAAAATGAAGAAAGCGAGAGGAGCTGCCTACTTCACACAACTCCCCAGAGCCTTTGGGCTGCTTTTTGTTGGAACTTTAGGAAAAGCCCTTACTTGGAGGTTCAGGGGGAGTTATAAGTCCCCTAATATGGAATATAAGTATAGTTACCCTACTTATAACCTACTTATAACTATACCCATGAACAAGTATCCCAAACCTTGAACATTGTCTGTAGAGAATGCATTTCCGGATTCGGGGTTGGACCCGAACTTTCGCGAAACGTCTCGAGCTCAGGGCTCGGGGCCTCGTAAATGATTTTCGTAGCTAGACTGGTACAGTTCGGGAAGAACCACCGGGGATTGAAAGCTTGAGGGCTCATGTAGTCTAGTATTTGGGGTACAGGGCCTGGTATAGGATGAACGACTTTATTGTGGTGCCCCTTCCTTCAAACAGATCTTGTGCCCACCCCAAGAACCAACCTTTACCCCCTCCTACCCTGGCGCGTTTGCACTAAAAGATGACGAAGATCTTCACATATTTTGGTGTTCGAGTGACGTCTTCACCTCACCTCAGGTTACCCAAGTTTAGGGTGCAAAGTTACCCTAAGGCCGCAAAGTAGTTCCTCGAATCCTGCAAGGTAATCCCAAAAAGGAACTACTTTGGGGCCTTTTGGTAAAGGCTATGTCGAGTACTTGCTCGGGCTCACAGAGATGCAGTTCGCGCCAAGGTTTTGGAAGATGAGAACCCAGGGTTCTGCGCCGTGGCCCGCGTCTGGCTTTAAAGTGGACCATGTCAGCTAGGACATCCTTAACATGCGAGTTTCCGAAAATGGGGGACCCTAATATAGCACCCTAAATAGTAGGATCCTTATTATAAGGACCCCCAAAACAAGGTACCCCTAATTTTCGGAAACACCCGCATGAGCAGAGGGCTCCTGAAATCCTGGGACGACATCGACGATATCCATTCCCAAGGCGCTGCTCAATGCATGGCACGGCATCCATGCAGTGACTGTCTGCAGCAAGGCAGCACGCGACACTCCCATTCCATCCATCAGCTCAGAGGGTCACGACTTTGGCAAAGACCACGCAGGCTTTCCGTCCTCTGTCTTAAACAGCCTGCTTTCCTTCAGAAGGGCATAAAGCGTCGGATTCACGTCGGAGGCCCTCTCCAGGCCACACCGCCGTGCGACGCTGATCGCGGTCAGTGGAACACCTTCTTTAGCAAGGATGGTCAGAATGTTCTTCACCAGAGGACTGTCCGTGGCTTTGACCATGGCATTGTCACTGTGCCGCACTTCCTCTGGCACCATGGCATCAGGCAGCATGGAACCACGATATCCCTGCATGGGCTGTGTTGGCTGTGGCTTTGCTCTCGATGCTAGCTGCCACAAAGGCTGCCGGTCATTCCAACATTTTTCGACTTTTCCAGCAGTTTCCAGACGGTAGAGTGTCGGGTTCACATCCTTGGACGCCTGCAGCCCGCACTGCCGTGCTACAGCAATAGCAGTCACAGGGCGCATGGCCGTATCTAGAACTCGAAGGATACGCCAAGAAAGCTCGGCTGCAACAGCCTCCGAGACCTCACTCAAGCTGTCCGTGGCAGAGTAGGGCAAGCTGCTTTCAGTTTCCACTTCGTCCATTCCTCAGGGCTCATACGACATTAAACAAACAAGAAAATACATAAATACAAATGCATACACATATTTACATAAATATAAACATAGACAAAAACACACACTGATCCTGATCTCTAGTATCTTATTATGTTTGTGAGCATTGAGACACATAAGGCTATATATGAATTGTCTTAGAGCAGTATCTAAGAGGTTTGGGAGAAGCTGCAGGCGAGACCGAAGCCGAATCTCATGCATCCCAGTCGCACACCATACAAACCCTACTATAAATTAGACGGGGCCCCCAACCCTGTAATAGTGGTATAATAAGAATATAATAGGACCCTAATATAATCCTTATAGCCACTATTGCAGGGAGGGGGCAGCTTCTAAAGTATAAACTCTATCCTGCGACTTCCCCGAAACTTAAACATGCTCCAGGGTCCCAGGCGAAAGCTTATCAAAATCCTGTACCCTGAACCCCAAAACTAGAACCGACCTTCATAGACCCAGGGACATCATACAAAAGGAACCCCTAAAAAGGTGGGTTATTTCGGTGGGGTTCAGGTAGTAGACCCTATAAAAGCCTATGAAGCTCTATCTCCAAGCCCTAATAGCTCCCACTTCGCCTGGGGCTTCTCCACATCGGGGGCAAGGGCCCCAGGCACAGTCGCGGCACATTGTGTAGTGCCCTTGTCCTTTTAGAAATAATAGACAGAGCCCTATACCTATATCCCTTAGTAGGAATTATTTAAGGTCTACTAGCCGGTCTGGTTATTCTTTTGGGGGAAACCATGAAAAAGGACAAGGCTGTTGTGTAGTGCCCTTCAAGGCCTGCGCACACAGGTGATCCGCATGTCCGCCTGAAGGGCTCACCTTAAGGTTTCGGGCTGAGGTACCCAGAGAGCCCAATACCCCTTAAATTAAGGAATATGGGCTTCATATTATGATGTAAGCTATATTCCTTAAGTGCGGGGTTATGGCTTAAATTATTTAAGGCTTCATATTATGATTTATGCTATATTCCTTGATTAAGAGGTATTGGACTCTCTGGGTAGGGGGCTCAATGATTAAAACAGGGTTTTTCGAGAGGGGTCTCGGGATTCTTGGGTTTGTAGGCTCTGGGATTAAAGGTGGGCAATGCTTAAGCTACACCGAGAGTGTCATGAGTGCCATCCCTCAACCCCAAACCACACCGAAACTAAACCGTCCTAGTTTCAGCTTCGCGCTTGTGACTAAGACTTCTGGGGTTTGGGTAAACCCTAAAACCTAAACCCTTTAAACCCTGAACCCTAAATCCTAAACCCTGAACCCTAAACACTTTAAACCCTGAATCCTAAACCCTAAACCCTTTAAACCCTGAATCCTAAACCCTGAACCCTAAACCCTTTAAACCCTGAATCCTAAACCCTAAACCCCCTACAAACACATGGTCTGTTGGCAAACCAGTATACGATCTAGAATATGCAGATGATACTCTTTTATTTGGGGTTACAGTTACAGCGGTAGAGGAATACTTGCGCAATGTACAATCCGAGGCAACGCTATATGGGCTATTCCTCAACTTCACCAAAACAGAGTATCTGAGGACACCCATACCGACTACTCCGCCCTCTTTTATTGATAGCACGCCAACCCCAGTCAACGATAAAATCAAATACTTAGGTTCTATGGTGGCTTGGTTTAATCCCACCCTCGAAGCAATCAACCATAGGCTCTCCCAGGCCCACATAGCCTACTGCAAATTATCAGCCTTCTGGAAGACTTCGGTGCCCCAAAAAACCAGGTTGATCATATTCAGAGCCTACGTCGTCTCAGTACTCCTCTATGGCCTATGCACACTCACATTGGAAGAAAAACATCTCAAGAAAATCGACGGATGGTACTTCCAGTTCCTAAGGAGAGTGGTAGGCATAAAAGCATCATATTACTCCAGAATCACCAACAAAGCAGTTTGGCTAAAAGCGGAACAGCCCATTCTCCCATCCCAAATAATACTACAGGAGCAGCTACAACAGCTCACTACCAGCCTGGCTACTCCTCACAATGACCCTATTCATCACGTAATCTTCTCCCCAGGTTACAAAGATAGAGTAGGCATTCAAAAGAACAGCAAACGTGGTCCTCCCCCCCCGCACTGGCTAGGATTAGTATCGGATAAAGCTTTGGAGTTCTTCCAACAGGACGTCAAAACACAGCCCGGCTACTCCTCCCAGTTAAGAGTAGACTTCTTGGGTCTGAAGCAGTACCTTCAGAAATACCCCAGCTACTCCGCTCGCTTGGCGGCAGCGCCTACGCGCTTTGCACGACGATTTTCCTTCTACCATAACAGCATTGGTGGCGCATGGCGGTCGTAAAACCCTAAACCCAGTTTGGGACTCATGGCTTCGGGCTCAGACGCAGCACCGACCTTCGACTGCTAGGCTTGGTTGCAAAAGCACAAAGAGCTCAAAGGGTCCAAGTACCATTATAGTAGGTACTTAGTAGGTATTTGGTCCCCCAAAGTAATTGCTTGGACCCTTTGGGAAGAGCTCAAATAGTTATGGGTAAGGTAAACCCCTGAATGGCAAATCGCTTCCCGGTACTCTGGTAAGCACTGTACAGGGCAGCTTTGAATTTGGACACTCTCTGCCTGAGGACGCCTCTCTTGGGGCATCGGAAGCAGGTCTCAAAGCCGTCGTGCGTCCGCACGTTGGCCGTCGAAGAAGGGGTGGACATGTCGTGATCTCTGAAACCCTGAACCCTTCACACCTTCCCCTAGAAGCTCCATGCAGTTGCCTAGCTACGGTTGATGATACAAGTCCTGCATTACCCATAAGAAGGAGTATACCATAATTCCCATAGTTTAGGGTCCTTAAGGTAATGCAGGATTTATATCATCAACCGTATGTAGTGGACTGCTGCTCCTCAAACCACATTCGACTGCTAATGTCTGTCGGTCAGTCTGTCTGCCGTCTGTCTCTTTGTTTGCATGCGTGCATCTATGTATCTATATATGTCTGTATGTATTGTATGTATGTACCACTTACGAAACACCAGTCAACACAAGCGAGTTTCGATTTCGAGTTCGAGCCTCAGAAGCGCAGCGTTGCATGATTCATGTGAAATTTCGGAGAAAACCCTAAGGGTCCAAAGGACCCCCAAGAAGAGGTACTCGGAAAAGTTTTGTAGGTTACTGTTTTGGAGAGTATATGATAATCAGGTGCTTCAACCCTACGGGAAACCAACAACAAAGGGTCGTAAATACCTATAATATAGTGGAAAGTTGGGTTTCCAAAGCAGAAAGTACTGGGTAAGTGTCCCCCATATCGGCGATGACGGGCTGGCGCACTTCCGATTGCTACAACTGCTGCAGCTTGAAACTGTAAACCAGAACCCACCCCACATAATGTCTGAAAATACACTCTAACATCCACCTTTGTCCCGACAGGCGCAGGAAAGCACGCGAAATCCGAGCTCGAACCCCAACCCCGAACCCTAAACCCTACCTGGACCCTGGGGAACCTGCCTTTTTGGGGTTCCCTAATATGATTTCTTTATATAAGCCCTTACAAAGGTAGGTTACTTGGAGTTAGGGTAAATCCTGAAACCTGAACTCTGAACCCGAACCCTAAACCCGAGATCTGGAACCCCAGCCCTGAAACTATAACCCACTTAGAACCATAGTAACAATAACAACAACAATAATATTAATAATAATAACAATAATAATAATACCAATAAAGAAAAGAAAAAAACAAGAATAATGATATTTATCATGATAATAATGGCCTTCTTAATGTTCTCTTGGGCTTTATATGAACAAAAAACTTCCCAAGGAGACTGTAGACAAACTCTATACCCTCTTACCCTCGTTCCAAAAAATGTAGGAAAGCTACCTTAACCCTAAACCCGAAATCCGCAACCCTAACCCTAAACTTGATATACCCTCGTTCCCAAAAAGTGTAGGAAAGCGACTTTGAAGGCTCGTGCGGCTGCTCCTCAGGGAGACGGTTCCGCTCAAGCGCCTCGGCACAGCTCTGCGGGTTTAGGCTTTAGGGGTTTAGGGGTTTAGGGTTCAGGGTTTAGGGGTTTAGGGTTTAGGTTTAGGGGTTTAGGGTTGGGCCCAAAAAAGCACATAAGCGAAAAATGGGATAGGGATATCCCACATAAATCCCCACAGAATGAAGGGATCTCCTTGTAAACTGTTTCTGCTTATTCTTTGACCTCTGAGAAGGTTCAAGTTGTTAGCGATTTCTCAACATCCGTAGTCCGGGTCTTCTTTTGAGGTGCGGCTGCTTACATTGAGACTTGCTTATCCCTCGGGTCCATTAGATTGCGGTACTGACATAGATGCAAGCCACTGAATGAGGGGATGTGATTCCGGGTGGACATGCTTGGAGGATCAAGGGACTTAGTACGGAAGGTTATAAGTACCTTAATTGGGGTTAGAAGTAGTTATAAGCATAGTTACCCTAACAATAACCTTAGTTACTAAGTCCCATGATCCTTTAAGTGGTCTCAGGTTCTAGCATTCAAGGTCTGGAGCGCCAAGGCTTTGGGTTTCAGGGTTTGCAAAGCGGGCTCTATGCATGCCTTCGAGACTTACTGAAACCACTATCTATACTTAAATAACCTGTTCACCATTCGGTTGATCTAGCTATGTATTTGTGTAAAGTGACGGTCATCGGCTAGATCTTGGTCGTAGCACCCAGCGCATGGGTTGGAAGTTTGGCTGTTTGCTGAGAAAGTGCATATCTCGCCACAAGCATAACACCATAAGGGTCCATTTCACCAAGAAGTATAGACTTTGGGGCCAAAAGTCCTGTAATTATCGGGAAGAATACTTTAAAGTATATACTATTTGGGTACATGGACCCTGAAATCCTTAACCCTAGAGAGCCCTCATAGAACCCTTTATGGCAACCCTTAAAGGAACCCTTTAATCACGTCATCGCAGAGTATCCAGACCCTAAGGTCGGGGTGGTCTGGTCACAGTCAGCCCCCGCTTCGAGTTGAACTTGGAAGCCTCAAGACATCTTCAGCCGGGGTACTTTTCCCACCTTGTAACAATCTATATTGGATGTCATATTATACATATCTACTTGGGTATAGGGCTTAGGCTTGCCAGGATTAGCTTAGGGTCTGACTACCCTAGCCCCAAAAACGCTAACCCAAAAGGTTAAAGTTTACCTACTTAGCTATATACTCAGTTGCCCTAAGCCCCAAGCCCTGGAAAGCTCAGGAGCCGAGGATCCTGTCGAGAATCAAGCCAGTCGCGCGGAAACGTGCTCGCCTTGGCCGGCGTCAGAACCAAAAAACACATGTAACATAGAAACCTAACTATGTACCAATGCCAGTTCAAAGCCTTCCGTATTGCTGCTAGTTGCACTGAATGCACTCCACAACCCGATTGCCAAAACCATATTCAAATTACCAAGGCCACTTGATTAACCTAAACCCTAAACCCTAAACCCTAAACCCACGACCCCGAGCCGAACCTCTGACGCTTGCTCAAGCATGAATCACAATCTGCACGCTTCTGAACATCCTACCCGAGATCCAACACAAGACGATCATAGGATGTTTGTCGCGAGGATCCGTCTGATGTCAAGGCTACTATAAAACCCCCACTCCTGCATCACTCCAGAGTCTGGTTAATTATCCTCTACATATGAAGAGCGTACAATACATCAAACCCTGTATTTGATATTTTCTGAGCCGTGCGAGGTCTCAATCTTGAAGCATCAGAGAGCATATCTATATCTATCTATAAATATATCTACATACACACATTTGTTATACACCCACACTCACACTCAGACAAACACACAATCTCTTACTCAAACTCTCTCGCTCTCTCTCTCTCTCTCTCTCTCTTGCTTGCTTGCTTGCTCAGCGTGTTCTCTCTCTCTCTCTCTCTCTCGCACTCTCTCTCTCTCTCTCTCTATCTCTCTCTATCTCTCTCTCTCTGTCTCTGTCTCTCTCTCTCTCTCTCTGTCTCTCTCTCTCTCTCTCTCACACATTTTTCCTCTCTTAGCAATCGTTTAGGGATTACGCAGGTATTAGGGTCTACAACCAGAAAGATCGAACCTGGAGCACCAAAGAATCCATGCTTTTAGGCTTTAAGACTCAAGCCATATGTGACTGAGTAAGGAATGGGTCAGGACTAGCAAGGTTTAGGGTTAAGGGGTTTAGGGGTTAGGGGTTTAGGGGTTTAGGTTTTAGGGAGGCACTGAGCCGCCTACGAGCATACCGACTCACGTGCAACGAAGCAGCAACGATCGAGCCAGACCGTATCTTCTCAACATGGGTAGTTGTCAAAAATTAGGGTCCCCTTTTTGGCACCTTAATGCCGCATTATAATAAGGACCCAAAAAAGGAACCATAATTTTGACAACCATCCGCATGGTAGACTGTGACTCATCAACATGCCTCCGTGCGGCATCAACCACTGTCACAACCCGAGCCACCTGCCAGAACTTAGGGCTCACACTTGGAGGTTCAGGGGTAGTTATAAGAGGGGTTGTAAGTCTCCTAATATGGGTTATGACTATAGTTATCCTATTTATAACCCTACTTATATCTAACCATGAACCTCCAAGCATGGGGCTTCAAAACACAACTTGCATGGTTTGGACTGTAGAAGTCTTGTGTGTCAGAGCGGCCGGGCTGAACTAAATCTTGTAGGTATGATGAACCCTACGAGTCCATGTACCCAAGTAGTATATACTTTAGCCTTAAAGTGGTCTCTATACAAGGTGCTTTGGGGTCAAATATGTGTGTATATATATATACACACATATATACTATGTGGGCAGATGGGCCCTTAGGGGATGTACCGAAAGGCTTGCCGGTCGTTCCCATGGTGATTATGCTGCTGAAGGTCGGAAAGATGCAGAATTGGGGGAGGGTGGCCTAGGTCGCCTTGAAAAGTGTGCATAAAGCAGATGGGCTGCGTGACTTAAACCCTCTCGCAGTGTTCATTCCCACTAAACCCCAAACATCTCAAGACAAGAGCCCGTACACTTAAGGGGTTTCGGGTTTCGGCTTAGGGTTTGGCAAATTGCTCCCAAATAAATTTTGTACGCCCTTAACCCTAAGATTTCAACCTCAAGCCGAAACACAGCCTCGCCTCCGAGCGCATCGCCACTGGGAGTTGGCAATCTAATGCGAGCGCCCAATTCCGACGCACGGACTGCAAAGCAAGACAAGGCAAGGGAGGCTTTCAGAGGGGCTCAGCCACGTCGTTCGTCGTCAGAGCTAGTCATACTACTGGTAACATGTATATGGGTATCAGCATCAGTGGCTGGACATCACTTTCTGCTTGACATCATTATCTTGGTCAGAATCGTCACATGCATCTTCGGTCTAGAAGGGGGTATCACCTTCATCATTGGCAACACTAGTTCACCAGTCGTTGCCACGACAGACAACTTCCACCCGAGACCGATCCCAACTCAGGTGAAATCCCGCCCACCCACACCCACACCCGTCTCCACGCAGAAACACACACACACACACAGAGACCTGCACAGCGATTTTGCAAGATTCAACACCTAGGCCCAGGCTTGGGGTTCGTGGCGCAGTCTTCGCAGCCATTTGCTTTCAATAACTTTGGGCTTCAGAAATCACGTTGAGGCTGTAGGCCTTGGCCTCGGGAACAAAGTCTACAAG